GTCACGAGAGCTAATAAACGACAATTGACACTTCTTAGCCAGTAAGCAAGATCCGTTGTATCGAATCTAGATTCTATGCTTGCAAATTGATGAGAGGATGATGAATATTAGAGACTGAATTAATTCTTGCGATGGAAATCTGTTTTATAGTAGAACATCATTTTGGATCTCATTTGAAGATTGCACAGGTCCATGTATTATATAAAGTATATAAAGTTAATAAGTTAATAATAAGTTAGTTAGTAGTCAATAAGTTAGTAATAGAATGTAATATAAAGTTCTTCAGTGGATAGTCTTCGGTAATATAATGTAATATAATTCTTCAGTGGATAGTCTTCGGACTTTCGCGCAATATACTTTTGGTGTACCGTTGTTATTAATAGGTTCACAACATCGCCGAAAACGGGAAAAAATCAAATTTACATCTAATTTCTTTTTATCATCTGAACAGTCTGCGGGAAATCATTGGACATTATGACCCAAATATTAAAGATAAGATAAGCATACTTTATGGCTTTACGCGTGCTTGAAGCTTGAGATAAACTCCTACTTCCAATTGTTCTTCGTTATGTGCGCACCTTCCAACAGTAGTGGTCCCGTTACTTGTTACGCAACTCGGAAATCATCATTGCGTCGCATTCCACCTGGACGACACCATTGTGAGTAGAATTCCCATTCGTGTGTTTGACCACGCAACCTCTGCTATTAGCTTTTTTTGTTAAGTTGAGATTTGACATAGATCTTTGTTCATACTTCCAGACTTTGCAAATTTTTGAATTTCTTTGTTTTCTTGGAAGAAATTAAAGGAAAAAATGTTGCAAATACTTGTAGTGAAATCCGAGTGCGCTTCAGCAACCTGCTCACTCTGAGTTTGCTGAAACCATCTTACGCTGAAGATTTTTTGTGCAGCTTACTCAGAAAAGAGAAAATTCGTTCTATATCTGTCATTATCTTTCAAATCATTGCAAATGCATCCCTTTCCCGGTAATTTTTTTGATCTAGGAATGATTCTTTGGTATCGAACAGTTGCCTATTTGTTGCAAGTTTCTTGTAAAATATCGTTCGTTTT